ATATATATATATATATATATATATATATATATATATATATATATATACACCCAATTTTCTGCTATTTATAATAGCGAAAATATTGTCTTATCATGCAATAAATATACCAAAGTGACAAACCGTATATAAGCAAAACACTAGGATAAATTAAGTTTAATTAAAAAAAAACATCGATCTGTGAAATGTGCTGTTTCGTGTATTGTGTGGAATGTAAATGCTCAGAACGAATTCATTGATATTTCCTGCGTACCTGACGGCCTTCTGAACTTTGATTAAATAAAGATACAAATATATAAATATATATATAAAGGCATGCATACAATGTCATCAAAATATAATTATCAGAAATTGCGGTGAACTAAATAGACCTTCAAAAATCGTATCTTATATTTGAACTTTTTTTGTTGATTAATTTTATTTATTTATTTATTTATTATTTATTTATTATTTATTTATTTATTATTTATTTATTTTTATTTATTGATTTTATCTTATACCTGAACTTTAATGATATTATTAGATTGTCTTATATTACTTTAGTAGACTAATTTACTTAGATTTTCTATATTTGGATTTTTTATATAACCTTTGAGGTATCATTCATATAAAACGTTCTTTTTACTTAGCATGTCTTTAGTCTCGTGCTGTGAAGGAAGTTCGATTAGTCCGAAAAATTTGCATTATTTATTCGTATGTTTCCGAGATACTTATATATTTATATCATTATGATCAAAGTAATCCTGACTTAAACCCGTCATTTAATTGGTAATTTCATTGTTTGCTCTTCCAGTTCGTCCGCACGTTTGCGAGCTAGGATGTATCTCCACGTGCGACTACTTCTTTCGAGTGGCAGTTAATATCCCCGAGACATTTTTCTAACTGTGGTATCTTTGTTTTCAGTAACTTGGTACCCGCTACCCACCAACTTCCATTTGTACCGGTGCGACGCTTGCGATAGGCAGTATCGAAGTAAGATCTCTCTACAACGTCACAAGAGGCTGGAGTGCGGCAAGGAAGCGCAGTTCAAATGTGTCCTGTGCCACGCGAGATTCAAACACAAGCACAGCCTGCTGAGGCATTACAACGTCCACATAGCCGACATGAAGATCGCGAACACGTTCGGAAACGAGGACAGATCCACCTGACGGATGGAATGGCAGGGATTCTCGCATCTTCGAGAAGCAATGCGAGCAAGTATAACGAGATAGTAGAATTGTGTGATAGACATCAGATGATCGGTGTATTCTCCCACGCGTGCGTAAGCGTGAACGATTCAAAATTGAAGAAAACGTTCGCAAATATTGCGAAGGTAAACCAAAGCGTGCGCGCGTGTTTGAGTTATTAATTATACCTCTAAAGGCTGTGTTATTTAATTCAATTGTTTTTAGAAAGTCTCAGACAGCACAAACACCTGAATGCCACCTTAAAGACGTTTATTTCTTTTGGAGAAACCTTTAAGAAGTCTTCAAGACGTCTCTTAGAAATTTTGGCTGTCTGCGATAATTATTAGGAATGTTAAATTCTGTATATTTCTACGTTTCTTTGTAGTATTTTACATGTATTTATCGTCACTTTGGAATGTGGATAACGGTATTTTTAACAACCTCCTTTCTTCCATTGTTCTAGATATATTTAATTTTCATTGCTGTAGTATGCGGGATAATACCGAGTGAAACTGTTTTTCTGAGAATATTACTAACGAGCATTTTGTTATATTGTGCAATTCGAAAATTAAACGTAAGATTTTATAATAAGATGAAAAATTATTACGCTAAAGTTGTTCCTCTTTTAAGTGAGTATCAAGTCGATTTTTCGAAAAATGTTAAGTGTATATGTTATAACTGATGTTTAAAGAAATACAAAAGAAATGAAAAAGAAACGCAAGGGCGAAGATAAAGATTCATACGTCGAGAATACGTTGAATCAATGGTTATATTCTAATCATATTAATTTTTCTTTTTAGACTCGATATGGCCGATTGAGGTCTTTCTCGTTTATTAGGGACAGCCGCTTTATTGGACCAAAATGGTCAAGTCTCAATGTGTTCAAACTAAGCGGAACTTACTGTATAATATAAGTGATGCGATTGAAAAAATACGCATCCGTAAAAAATACTCTGTTATATAATTATATTCTATTATTAAATAGAATATTTTCTATTAGACTATTTTCAAAAATAACTCGAAATATAATACAAATGTAAAAGATGTTGAAGAAAATGTTAAAATATATAAAATATTTGTTACATCTTCTGAAGAAGAATATATTTTTCTAGTTGTATATTATATTTGCTGTTTGTCTAAGTTTGGTTCCTATTACGGTGAAGTTACAATTCATATTTCTTGCAGGTATCACCAAGGACTGCGTAGAATCTAGCAAAGAATATCATGACCTAACAATCATTCATTGTTTAGTATTCAGAGATTATATATGTTTATTGTAATTGTGTGAAGAACTGTTTTGCATCCCAAAAATACTGTTCAACATCTTTATAATTGATCGAATAAAATTTCATCCTTAACCAAATCGCGATAATCCTTGTGATTAACTGTCTCTTCTTCGTGACGAAGAAGAGATTAATCGTTATCAATCGTAAACCCTTTTGTACTCGGAACACTCGCTTTATCGATCGATTATTGTTTCAGGTCCTGCTAATCCGAGTATGACGCACTACAATGCTCATCAACAAGTTCCAGGTATATTTATTTATTCTTTCGAGACATCAAACTAGGTTTATCCTTTGAAAAATGTACCAAAAATGGACTGTATATGATATATATTAAAAGTATGGGACATATATTTTTTAGATGTGCTTTTTAACAAATTTAAAGGTTGAAACATTTTTTCACTTCGATAAAATTAATTGCGAGTGAGTATTTTCAAATAACACGTTGAGAAATATAAGGAAGAGTTTTAATACCCTAATCAAATATCTTCAGAGAAATTATTTTAAACGCGATAGTTTTATAGTATTTCATATACTTTATAATTAAATAAAATGGAAAGAAAACTTATCTCTATGATATAATGATAATATTTATTTTAAGTTATAATGTTTAACGCTATATTCACCAACTCGCGTTAGCGTTACTTCACGTAACCAAAGCAAAGCAAGCTTTTTAAATGGAGCTAAACCGGCTTACAAAATACAATTTCTCAGAGATAAGTGACATAACGTAAACTTCACATTTATTTAACGCAACGTTGTCGACGTAACAATATATAGTTAAAATATAGTTAAGGAAACACATAATCATAAAGCATACGTTATAAACTCTATAAAGCAAGCGTTATAGTTATGACGTAAGCGTTACAATTATAACGCATGCGTTAGGAAGTTACAGAATAAACCTGCAGGGCCCATAAAAATTGACGAGAGACACTTTCATGTGTCTTTTCATAAGCTTCAAAATATACAACTTCAATTTTTTTAAAGCCAGTCATTCTGCTAAGAGGCTCTTCATCTCCATCTGAAACTCTATTATGTTTACGATTCATCTTACTTTGTAGAGATAACTAGCATCGCTAATAAATTCATCGTCAGCAAATAATCTCGATGAGCTGTGGCTCTTTGTTGCACTAGTTGCACTAATTAACTTTGTGTACGAGATGCTGAGGTGGCGGTCACACTACGCAACACAACGCGCCCAACACGAGAACCGTAGTGCACGAGACCGCGGAGATTCGCGCCTCGCCTCAACAACTGGAACTTTGATCTGTTTTGTATTTTCAGTACAGCTGCATCGCTTTACGACACCCATGTGCCACACTTACAACCATGTGAATTTTACGCAACGCGCGTTGGCCTGCAGCAATTGCCCGCGTACGTACAGCACTATGCGCGCACTGAGGTTCCACGAGACCACCGAGTGCAATCAGAATCCGAAGTTCATCTGTGATTTTTGCACCTACCGATCCCTCAGACGGGCCAATCTGCGGAGGCACATGCTGCGGAGGCACAAGAGGGACATGCTGTAGTAAGCGGGACCTCTTGACTCTATATACTTATATCTGTCCGATGTGTCTCTCTTCTAACCAACTTGTAACTTCGAACGATTCGCCGAGCTGGAGGCTTCCCACCGAACAACTCGTGACGAAAGACGTCTACCACGACTCAAATCTCAAACCTACAAACTATGCAAAATTTGTGCGATCCAGATCGGTCAAAGGGTTTGGAGCGTACAAGGTGAACAGACAGACATTCTATTTCGTATATACGTGTAGATTAAATTTTGCAACACGTATTGTCATATACTTTGCGTCTGAACGTCGGACATTGTGACGTGGAATCATATTTCATCGTTTCGACAATGCTGCGAATTGAATAAACAGGGCTGACGACGTCAATTCACAATCCTTACGGTAACAAGCCTTGTATCTGTTTTTTTCAGGATGCTATTACTCGATTGTCGCCGCATCGGAAGAACTGAAATCTGAAGCCGAGGGTGACACCTTCGGATCCACTGGCGTGCGCTATGTTGGGCCAACATTGAAGCACCAATGATTACAACCACGTGCATATGTTCCAAGTACTCTTACAAAACTGAGAGGAAATTCAATATGCATAAGCACTTTGTGAACGCAGGCACATAGAAAAAAAATAATTCCGTTAGTGCAATTGAATGTTCTGTTACATGGGCGTCAAGCGAAAACTCGGTTGTAACAACAGAAAAATTCCCCTAGGAGGTTTCTACTCCGCCACTGGCTCCCAGTTGTCTCAACCGAGTTTTAACGTAGCTGAGTGTTTAGACGAGTGTTTTCGTGTGACAGAGATATTATTCCTCGTCAGTAGGTTTTTCGTCTGGTCCCCATTCAGGTAAACCAACTGAAAATTCCCTTCCGTGCGTGTTGAGAATGCATTGTGAAGGAAAGACGCGTCCGAAACCGGATTCGGTTTCTTCATATATATGTAACGCTTTCTCTGGCCAGTAAATCAAAGCGGAAGGAGTTTCGAAACGTGTCGAGCACGTTTTCTTTCAGATATCGTAACTTTCCAAACTTTGAAATAGTTCGAAAAAAATTTTCAACTTTGAGAAACATATTTCCCCAAATCAAAACGAAATAGGATCGTAAACTGATGTTGCCTTTGTTTTTCTTTTCTTTCTCTTTGTTCCCTCTTCCTTAATATCTTCCTAATAAGTGATGCAATAATTCTGTATTGCAAAGCATATAATTTTGATTGGCTGAACGCGACCATGTTTGCGACATACGTTGAGACGTTATCGACAGTTTTCTCGGCTTTTGTACGTCAAACATGCTTTCAACCAAGATATCTCAGGAACAAAAACTGTAATCGCTTTTTCTAACGTCGATATGAGTTTTTGATTGTAGTCAATCAGATTAAAAAATCATTCTACGGGGTCTGCGGTGTTTTATCATTGATGCAAACGTCATCTTCTTCATCGAAGTTTTCTTTCTTCGGCAGATCATTCAACATCCACCGTCCATTCAAAACACGCCATTTTCAGCACATGCGATTGTCTTTTTGCGTAACAAATAAGATAAATAAATTGTACTTAAATATATCTAAAACATCTTGTATAAATGCATTTAGGTATACACACATGTATACATATTTAACATGTCCGCAATCGTCTAAAGGTTACATAAAAATATTTGTAAGCAACCCGCAACAAAGACGCAGACAAATATCGAAACATCACAATCGCTTAAAGCGAAATTCTGGTTTAGATGGTCGGAAAATAGGAAGTTTTTTCGAAATTTTTTCCAAAAAGTTGATAAAAATATCAATATAGGTTTTTGATCGTACTACTCATTATTGTTTTAAATATAAAAAATTATCAGAGAAAATTGGAATTCCGTCTAAATTTTTTATAGCGAGCGTGATGTCGTTGAACGCCTCTAACTGGCAGGCAACATCACAATTTGTGTAATATTTTGAAACAAATGGGACAAGAAGATCTGAAAACTTGCTGAAGGGTGAATCTGAGTCCTTTGGAAAATTTCCAACATTAATATTTTTCTCGGGACACTAAATAAAAAAGAAAGTGAGAACTAAATAAAAAAAGCAAATGAGAAGAAAAATGACTTGTAATTTCAAAGTGCTGCCGTTTTGTTAAATTTTCACTTTCTGCATATAATAAAGGTTCATTCTGCAGAAAATTTAACACATTTAAAAATTTCCTTGTTTCATTTATTTCGCATTGTTAGTTCGCTTTAGTTGTACTGTCGCCCATCATTTAGAGGCATTCGACGACACTGCATTCAGCACAAAAAATCTGTTAATGAAATTACAATTTTTTCAGTGAAAAAATAATATTTTAAAAATAATATTTTTTTATACTTAAAACCATAATAAATAGCACAATCAGAACTCTACATCGATATTTTTATTCATTTTTGTGAAAAAAATTCTTAAAAACTCCTATTTTTTCGGTTATCTAAACTAGAACCTCTCATTCAATAAAATGAAGAATCGATGTAAGTGCGTGTCTTGTGAATAGAAAAAGGATTTTCTACGGCTGTACCACGCTCTCTTATTAACAAGCGCATGTCTTTTCTTGTATGCTTTCAGATCACGGCCGAGACAACAGGGAATTGGATCATTTTCAGTGCAAGGAGGAAATAATTTACGGTGAATACAAGACGGAACCACGTCACGATGAGAACAGTGCGGAACCAAACAACAGCGCGAATGATCTAGAAGTACGTCACGAGGACATTGCGAAACCTTCGAGTGCGAACTTGTACCATTGCAGTACCTGCGGCAAGCCCTACAGGACCCGAGCGTCATTGAATTACCATCGAAGGGTGGAGTGCAAAAAGGAGCCTAGGTTTGCGTGCACTTTCTGTACTTACAAGTCCACAAGAAGCAGCAATCTGCGTAGGCATATGTTGCTGCATTGTCACGTCATGGAACCTCGTAAAAGAAGCTCGTAAAGAAAACTTCCGTATCATATCTCGTCTATAACTCAGTGTACGAGCACAATAAAAAAAAGTCTTCATTCTTTTAACTCGTTGCTTCACTTTCATCTCGAAAACTTCTACATTCTTCAGCACATCCTGTATCGCTCTATCTCTATATAAACTAATTCTATTTCTCTATAAGTATCTGTCACTACCGTTTATATAAGTATCTCTGATTTTTGTGTAAGTTAACGCCGTTATGCTATTTCAGATGTGTGCGAGTGAGAATCTTCGAAAGGTAAGTAGCTGAAACACGTGAGTCTTTATGGACAGCTTTATCTGCATTGAGGGAAAAGCTTGAAAATCTATTCGCGGGATATAAAATTTGTTTTAAAATAACTTTTATATCCCGCGAATAAAATTTTCCAGTATTTTCTTTTCTCAGTGTGCGATACGACCGGTTAATATTGTTTTTAGTTTTTTGTCTTGATTCTCTGTTTTCCCAATTAAGTACTCAAGAAACGTCTTGCAAAAGATGCAAAATGTATGTACGAGTAAGAGACGATTGAATTTAGCGCGCGCGGAGAATAATTATTTCGTTGAAACTATTATCTCAAATTCTGTCGTAGTTATCTCATCAAGACACTCTGTTTACTGCACTTTCTCTTTACAGCCTTCTTTTTACGCTGAGAAGAAATACTTGGAAATTTATTCGCGGGATGTTTGTTTCTGCGAAATGAACTTCACGTTCCACGAGTAAATCTTCAAGTATGCTTTTCTCTGTGTGCAGTGCCTTCGGTGCTGCATGTATCGCCTACGAAGATAACCGCGAGCAGTCGTTCATCCTTTCTTCCGCTTTTTCAGATGCCTCGCTTGACAACAGATACATATATCGAATGGACATCGAAACAGGACGGAATGTCGCAATTGTCACAAAATTGGCTTCAGTCACTCGACGTACTATCGCCGGCAGAATCGGAAATTCGGAGGTATCGGTGCGTCCGCTGCGTTTTTGTACCGAGCAAAATTTGATTAAACATTAAACGCCGATCGTAAATTACCGATCGTAAACGCCAGACGAAATTTGTCTTAATTTGCTAATAAAACAGCAGTTGTCTGCGATGCATTCTATATTATATATTTATATATCTATTAATTTTTTGTATGCGTATCTTACTTTGATCCCAAAGGATAAGTTTTTCACGAACTGAAACGTTACTATTTTACATGTTAACGTGTTATTTGATCTTGCCACAACATTACGCAAATTGAACGATTGGTGAACGATTATCGCAGACTCAAAAAGTTAAAAAAAAAATTTCACGTAAATTCTCATTCCATCTTTCGTCATCTGACCTTCCGACTCCTCAGTATATTTATACACACAATCGTACACTGTTCTTAATTTAAATCATTAGCTTACAACGACACCGATAGATTCACTCAGTGAGCTTGATGTCTCTTCTCTGTTCGCACGTAAGAGACGACATCGAACAGTGTTTCGGAAAATGCCAAGATTTTGTGCAGATTAGATTTGGTTTCCGGGTTTGAGCCGCGTGGATTTTTCTTTATTTGATTCCTTTCTTTGTTTGAAATCAAACAAAGAAAAATCCACGCGGCTCAAACCCGGAAACCAAATCTAATATGCATGGACACCGTGAAAGCCTAAAATATCAAATTTTGTGCAGATTTTATGTTGAAGATTCGCTCACGAAACTTACACCTCGATTAATATAAGTTTTATTCAGTTGTATAGCCCTTTCTTTCAACAACTTTCAGCTCCATGATCACGAATGTTGTTTTCGGATCGTTGAAATTGAAATAGTGTTTACGTTTAGTTTAAGACTCCCGAGCCGATTAAGTTACATCGATCGAATTTCATAAATTACGTTAAGTTACATCAAGTTTCTCCTCCCAACGCGTCCATGTGGGCGACTGGTGAACACACGATGGACCTTCCATCCGTTTAAGTCGTATATTTTCGCTAAGAAGAGAAACAATGGTTGTGTTTGGCGACACGAAGTGACCCGATAAGCTATCGGTAAGTAACAGATTCGATCGATGTATGACCTCGTGAACCTCGGCTAGATTGAAAACATACACCATTCGGATTCTCGAACCGCCGGTCGCTCGCCGAGCTCTTCGTTCGGTCGCCGAGCACGACCATTACCGCGAGTTAAGGCCTTCGCGCACAAATTGCCGTAAACCTAAGACCTTCAGAGCCTTTAGCTGAGAAAGCGATCAAGCTGTTGCTCCAGATCTATGTGCTGCAGAAGAAGACAGAATTGCCTCGATAAGCACACTCGGAGAAAGATGCATAGTAATGGCAGCTTTATAAATAACAACTATATCAATTTTGTATGTGAAATCAATGTATATAGTTGCATAGACTACTTTGTGGTTGTTGCAACGAAAGCTGCAAGGTTACGAGAACTGTATATACTGAAAAAAAATTTAGAAAATTTATTTGGGAGATGTAAAGTTTATTCCTGTGGAATAAAGTTTATCTCTGGAGAAATATGGTTTATTTCTTGAACTCCACAAATAAATTTTCAAGTATTTTTTTCTCAGTGTAGAGTTCTCTAATTCTCTATACAGTTCTTCTAACCACTCAGTTTTACTCGCAATAACTACAAAATAGTTTATCAAACTATATACATACGTTGATTCTACATAGAAAACTCGTATAGTTGTCATTTTTCATACACTATAATTATATTACACTGAGAGAGAAATAGAAAATTTATTTGTGGGGTATAAAGTTTATTCATAGAGAAATGAACTTTATTTTATTGAAATAAACTCTATATTCCAAAAATAAATTTTCGAGTATCTTTTTCTCAGTGTACCATGCATATTTTTCCCCAAGTGCAGAAGTAAAATTCAATACTTTGAAATCTTTGCTGCACCATCACTTCTATCTTCTTCTAAAAAACAATATCCTGATCTTAAAGCAATATTCTGATTGGTTCTACAGCTGAAGTTTAACGTCTTACGTTCACGGATACTCGTCGAGGTTGAGCTCGAGTCGCACTTCCGGTCACACCGCGACTCGGAGCATCTCGTGCAGAATAGTGGGACTGACCTAAAGCTCCTTCTTCTTTTATTTCCAGGTGCCATCAAGCGCGAGAACTGGATGAATAGAACGTTGATGGAGGAATTCGTGAGTTTGCCGGTGCAGGTGCAGGTGCAGGTTCCCGAGAATAAGCCACTACTGCCGTTCGCCGAGCTGAAGATACCGAAGGCCAGCAATTTTGTCAGTGCGAGGCCGCGCGGTCAGTTTATATGCGACCGATGCGGCCGGCCGTATATGAGAAAAGACTCGTTGCAGCGTCACATGCAGTACGAGTGCGGCAAGGAGCCGCAGTTCCAGTGCCCGCAGTGTCCGCAACGTTGTAAGCGCAAGGCGCACTGCTTGCGCCACATACGTCGCCGACATCCCGACATAGATCTCACTTTAGAGGACCATAAGCTGAAAATAGAGATCGACTGAGCTTGGACGAATCGTTGCCGGGATGAAGGGCGGCCACGATTGAATCGAGCAACTTAGAACGAAGGGATTGGAGAGTAGAGCAAAGAGAATGGAGAGATTCCCGAAAGACTCTCGTATGCAATAAGGGAAAAGAATTCAGCCAGCATTTAGGACACGTATAGGGGACTTTTATTTTATTCTATGGTTTTTCTTTTTTTGAGGGGGGATATACGTGTCGTTCAGATCTCGAAAGGACAGAAATTTGCAGGGGAGGAAATTGAACGAAGGGATAACTACCGCGGTTGTCAGTGCGCGAATTTTATTGTGTTAAATTTGTGACGTGTATTTAACGCTAAACGTCTCGTTCATGACCCTCTTCAGTAATCTATACGGTATTTGTAAATTTTATCACGTTAATCAACGTTCATTGTGAAAAAAATATACAAGAAATAGTAGATACTTATTCGCGCGGCGGGGCTGCTAATAACATATTTGCTTCTATACTATATATACAATAGTTTTATATATTTATATAAAAATTTGTATATATTTTAATATATACAATATTTTTCAAACAAGGAAATGCACATTTCCTTAAAACCTCAAGCGAATTTTAGATTTTCATGAAAATGATTATTTGTTCTAGTTAAACAAAAGCGTTTAAGTATATATATTATTAGTACCTATCAAAATAAATATTTACTATTTTTTATATATTTTTTTCCTCAATGTATATATATCTTCAATTTGATGACTCTCCTTCAATTTTAGAACTCTCAGATCGTTTTGTCCTTTCGCAACCTTCATAAAATATTATACAATTGTGACCTGCTAAATGGACTGAATAGTATTATACTTACAACATTTTTACACGTATGTAAAGTAAATGATTTGCAAGGAACATTCGCGAAATGTCCTTCTCCGATCAAAGCCTTCATCCCGAGTAACGAGGTTACAATAAGCAAATCCCGCTTGACGGAACCCTTTGGTAATCTCACTGAATTTCTCAGATTTTCAAAAAATGTAGCGCATTACTGCCATATGTGGTATTCGTAAGATATCTCGATTAACTGAAGATTGATAACGTATTCTTTTAAACGTACTTCGTAAAACAATGACACAGAATACGTATATATATATGTATATATATATATATATATATATATATATATATATATATATTTTTTAGGACTTTTTCCTTATATTTACGTACATATAAAACTCGTGTTGACAGAAGTGTTATTATAATATTTGAGTGATAATTGGACTGAAATACGTTTCAGTACGTTATACAGGTGGTAAGTTCCGCTAGATGTATCTCGGTTCTACAACCGAAAATACCCGACTGATTTTATTTATTGTTCGAGGACCACTCACAATAGTTTCTCGATTAGTGTCTGTGTTTCGTTTCCTAGTACGTAAGACAATCTGCTGATCGGTCGGTGCAGTCGATCGGTTGTGCTCTTTTACACTTTAAGTCTTTATGTGATCGAGTGCCTTATCATAAAGTAATTAATTGGAAAAATAATGAAGTACACAGAGCTCTTGACGGAGATCCTTCGCGTTGAGAAGGAATCCTGTATTTTTTGACAAAGAAGGAAGACATGAAGAGCGGAATAAAGAGGATCGGATCGAGGCGAAATTTTCACAAGGAAGGCTAGTTTTAAAGTATTAGTTCATAAGCAACGCGGCGAATATTTTTTTACATTGACCAAAACATATGAAATGTATTTGAGTATAAACATGTTAAGACTGATTACATCGAAATAGAAATTGATAGACGCGTCCCGAGAGGTTTCTGATTACTCAGTATACCCTCACAGTTCTCGGTCGTACGACTTACGAAATATTTGAGATATTTCGAACATTTATTTCGATTAAATTGGCGATAGAAAAATGTTCACATGTATATGTAGGATCAAACATCCAATTATTGACATTCCCCTATAGTCATTGACATTCTAGGAAAAAGGAGTGGTCTCTTATGCGATCAGCATTGCAGTTAAAACTTCTTGCCCTGCGCTCAATGATTCCAAGAAAGAACCTCATAACTAAAACCGTGTAGAACCGCCACTGGTCGCAAGGAAAACCAAACTTTCCTGGGGTATCCATGACCGAGGGGGATCAGTAATCGGATAACGATATAATCAGGTGTTTTATTTTGCATAAGAAAAAACAAACAAACAATAATTCCCACCAGTATTATATTAATTTTCTTTTCTTCAATAAAAAGAGAAAGTAACATTGAGCAAATAAATTGCTGGAACACCAGATAGTCTCATGTGTGTGTGAGAGAATGAAATGTATCGAAATTTCCTATCTAGCCGCGACGATGTAGGACAATGCCATTGCTACACCGTGAGTCCCGTTAGCGCAAAGTTAGCGCCACGTTAGAAGCATTCTCTGTAAATAGTTGACCTTCTCGCAAAGAATCTTCGGTTGGTTTAAGCGCCATTGCGACAGCTATATCTGAGCAACTGAGTACACCCTTCGCATCTCTTGTTTCTTTCTCCTGCCTTCTCCACCTGTCGCGACATCAGGGGAGCAGCATGCGCACTAACCTTTCTCTCTTGAAACTTGTACATAGAAATGCCACTTACATACCGAACTTTCATCGCTTGCGCATCGAAAGGAACACTCACACCCGTCCGCCAGCGAGTCTCTCTCAAGTCCCGACGAAGGACTTACGCGTCGGGACGCAACTGTCCGAACGAATGTGTCAGCGCGGACTCGGGCCCGTGACTGTTCCTCTCGCAACACGCAATTTACCGCTCCTTCCTCGTATGTGAAACTCATAACTAGCTGCTTGGGGCTCGAAAGTAGGGACACGAAGGACACGCATTCTTTCCTCTATCCTTGACGAGTGAGCGACGCCGACCGTCGCGTCGAAGCCATCCGTGCTCTCGAGGATCTCTCGGAGACAGCCTTCTTTCTAGGACACGTCGGGAAGAAGGCACCTTCCACCCTCGACGACAGACAACCTCGATTTCGACATACCCCCCCTCTCCCCCGAAATAATTAAAGATACACAGACCGAGAAAGAGAGAGAGGGAGAGAGAGAACACGACAAGGAACGGTGAAAGAGACGGGCAGACGGGCGTGGAGCGCACGAGGTCGAGGAAGCCGTACGTCAGGGTGCCGCGCGTCAGCGGCGTCGAACCCTTCTGAGCCCGATGTCACCCTTAGCCGCTAAGCTAACCGAAATCCTTAGCCGACAGCGGGAAGCGACGCGCATCGCCCATCGGCCATCGCCAACGGTGTTTCTCCGCTCGAGCGCGTTTGGAGAAACGCAGTAAGGCCGGCAGCACGTAGAAAAACGTAAGCAGTAAGGTTTGAGAGCCAGCGAGCAAACTGACTAACACCGCGGTCGATGATTCTTCCCACGGTTCAAGAATAATCGATTGCAATTGGTCAGTTTTCTTACTGCTCGAGTCTTGCCGCTTATGCTTTTCTGTATGCCAACCGCTTAAGAATCCCGCCCTCCATCACCACCACCACCCCTGACCACCCACCGCGCCACCCCGACGATCGGTTCGCGCGGGACACATACTAATAAAGCCGGGGATCTTGTGTTCCAGCTGAGGACCTGAGCATGACCACCGGTCTCAAGTGGGCAGCGGCCTGGCAGCGATGGAGCGTGCCGTCGATCATGTGGCGGTCCGGCATGACCCTCGGCAAACGGTTGGGCTCCGGGCCCTTCTCCACGCCGGAGGGCTTCAACTGCCCCACCTGCGGCAGGGTCTACAAGCTGAAGAGCAGCCTGAGGAACCATCAGAAGTGGGAGTGCGGCAAGGAACCCCAGTTCAAGTGTAAATACTGCGTCTACAGGGCGAAGCAGAAGATGCACATCGCGCGGCACATGGAGCGGATGCACAAGGAGCAGCTTTACAAGCAGGAGCTCGTGTAAGGGCGGCGGGAGGGAGCGGACATGTCGGTATGCTCGTCGTCGGCGTCGTTGCCGGTCGCGGTCGCGCGCGCGAGAGAGATTGAGAGAGCGAGAGGCACCTTCTCCTGTGCTAGACGAAGACGAAGAGGAGGATCTCTCGTACAGGAGAAGAGGAGGGACACGGCAAGTGCCTCTTTCAGAACGAGGAGCGAGGGGAACGGGCACAGGAGGAACACGCGGGTGTATGCCGTGACGATGATGATGATGATGGCGATAATCATGATGATGTTGATGACGGTGAGGGGACGAGGACAGTGACGATTACGACGAGCGAAGCTGACGACCGAGACTTTTGCTGCTTCTCGGGCAGGGGGCTACGAGTCCGCTCGTCTCGATCTTGGATTCTATTTTTTTTATCCTTTTTAAGGTTTATTATTATGAATCAATTGATTAATTAATTAATTATTATTTTTGTGTAACGAGATATATGCCGCGTGTAAACAAGAGAACGCGTCGATCTCCCACCCGGGGCGCCACTCCGTGGCCCGATAATTTTTCTCCTCGAGCCCGTGTCGGGAATCGACGAGTGTATCTTCCAGGTTGAGGGGAGAACGGAAGGCAAGAGCCGACAGCGCTGGGCGATCGTCGAGACGGTTTCTGACGCGGGCTCGAGGCGCGATCGTCAGACGGGGATGATCATTTGATCAGGGCCCGCCCCGGGCCGGATTGCGACCGTCCGGTAAACCGGAGCTCTTCCATAGCAACCATTCTGGTCACACTGGTTCCATATTTTTAAACGGGCGCAGCCGTGCGCGTGTGGCTCACTGGGGACATCAAAAACGAGAATGGGGCAGGTGGGAGAGACGCGAGGGGTTAGGACGAGAAGGCGAATTTCCGAAAAGATCGCAAGCGCGGCCACGTCAGCGAGTGTCTGTCGACTCGGTGCACACGAGCGCGTACCCGCGACACACATCGGTATCGTACGACCACAAGTCACAGAGTCACGTCGGTACCAGCACTCGAGCCACTCAGAAGGCCGCTCTGCGCAGGCTGGTCTGCAAAGGCGCGCCGGAGGCTCACCCCTTTCAGGCCAGACGAGTCACGCTGCGAACTTCGCGATGTGCGGTAACCACGGCTGATAGACATTGGAGGGACTGCACTGAGAAGAAAATACCTGAACGTTTATCTGTGGGATAGAAGGCTAACTACGTGGAAAAGGAATTTTGAACAGAAAAGAACTTTATTTCGCAGAGATAAACCTTGTATCCCACAAGCGAATTTTCAAGTATTTTTTTTTTCGGTATAGACGGGTTGAAATTGAAGAACTGCTCTCCGATTTACTGCCAAATATTTTCGATTCACCCTACAAATTCTTCAGGTCGGTAGTTCTTACCCTCGCTGTATACCTGCTCTTTCTCTCTCTTTCTCTTTCTCTCTCTCTTCCTCTCTTCCTCTCTTTTTTGTTTCCTTTTGTAGTGTGAATATTCAATTGCAACGCGACCAATGGATTCGAGATACAGGCGAGATAAATCCACGACTGACAAAGCACGTTTCTGAAGCACAAGGTCGGGTCTAAAGCAAATCCGCGTGGAATTTCTCTCGCTCGTGATCTCGAATCCCTCATATAAGTCCCCAATGTCGCTCGCTCGTAGTTACCGCACATATTTGGCCCGGTGGAAAAATTTACTAGATTGTTTTTAATATATCTATAGCGAGTAGGCATATTATATTTATTTGAGAAAATTATAACTATTTATAAAACTTGCAGGCAGGTATGTAAAACCCTATTGAGTTTGTTAGAATATTTAGAGTATAGCTCTCGAATTTATATTGCTAAAAGACGATAAAAAATTTATTACGGAATTTGTTATAAATTAATATAAAATTTTTAACTTTCGGCGCATATAGTGTATATATATATATATGGTAAATCTCGTAAATTATTTTGATTGGAGAGACCGAAAATGTTATTGATAATTTATTTGTTTTAATTTCGGTGAGTTTAATCGTTTCTGCTCGTCGCGCTCTCATCGTGCAGTATTTGCGTAACAAAATTACACCCAAAAACATTCGAGTGTACTGCAAAATTCCATTATTTAATTGCAAGTGAGCACGTATACATGTCATATATAAGATATGTATCAACCCAGGTAACATAAACTTCTAAAGGACGTCTCAGAAAACGTTTGAAAAGAGAGAAAAAGGATCAGAACGTCTTTGAGAGATATTTTTCAGTAGATTGTGCTACCTGGCAAGCCTTGCTTGTATCGTTAGTGACGCGCGTGTCGCGCTAGTTTTTAGGTCTAGGAATTATCCGGAAGAGGAAAGAGGGAGAGAGAAAACGAGAGAATTTCTCGCATCTACGAAAATAACACGCAGCGTTCACCACGCGTCTGGCCTGAGAGGGATGAAGGGAGTTCCCGTTAGAGTCTTGCCAAGCAAGACAGCCATTTACACTGTATTCCTCGCAGTGATGCAACACAGGCAACCACAGTATTAGGCACGGATTCGCGCGGGCACGGTAACGATCGCGCGAATCGTCTCCTGCATTTCGTTGATGCTTCTTCTTACATGTTTACGTACTCAGACATACCACACGCTAGCAAGGAGAGAGAGAGAGAGAGAGAGAGAGAGAGAGAGAGAGAGAGAGAGAGAGAGAGAGAGAGACACACACAGAGAGAGAGAGAGAGAGAGAGAGAGAGAGAAGGAGAGAGAGAGACAAACAGACAAAGTTAGAGAGTGGCATATCCTATTATACGCAACCACACGTATATATGTGCACACGCAGCTCTTACATGGACGCGCGAATGCATATAAGCACGTTACATACACACACAAACACACATCCACACGTGTACATCCAGATATATACATACCTACATGATGTATATTTAATTATATAATGCTTTATATAATTAAATATATATATGCGTAGCTGTATGTATATATATACATATATATATGCACACTCTACCGCGAGGTATTCCTACAGCATTGTGATCGCCAGACTGCCAGATACACAAACGTAGATTCCTATACGATGCATTTAAGTATATATATTTATATTATAGAAAGCGTATAAATAACTCCTTTTAATTAAGAAGCGTCCTCGTTAAGGCTCCTCGCGTATTCCTTCACACACATACATATACACACTCGCATATACACATCAGTTTTATTTTCCTTCCGCCACACTACGACGCGCAAACGCGCCGCAATTGAGTCGACGGACGCGAGCAATGACGGAAGGCCGCGTGCCGAGTACGGTGTACCGCAATTTGTTTCCTCTTTCCTGCTGCAACCGGCAGACTTGCGAAATTTATAATCCGCTCGTGACAGCGGCAAACGACAGGGAA